GCATCAGCATCAGCATCAGCATCAGTATTAGTATTAGTATTAGTATCAGTATCATAGTTATCGTCATCGGTTGTCCTTTTTGCTGGTTCTTAAAACTCGGGAATTTTCCATAATACGTTCAATTTTTCAAACTTAGAAAATATTTTCAAAACTAGGAAATTTTCCTATTTTATCCACGATTTTCTACAAGCATTTGTCACTTTGTCACGAATGTTTTATTTTCTTTCTTTTTTCATTGAAATGAAATGAAAATGAATGAAATAAGATGAAAAATAAAGCTACCTACTTTAACTTAACGAGGATAACATTCATCCAAAGAGAATGCTGTAACATTACCGTAACGGTCACGGCACGACTGTACTGTGATTTCATTTCACATCGGTTTTATGAGACTGATCTGCACGTCTCTATACTCAATGTGAATTTTTCGCGATTTGCKTGACGTTCGAGATCGTGACAGTGTCATACTCAAACGAAGCTAATTTAGCACCGTGACTAACCGATGTCGCATGATATTTGGCACGCTTGGAATCGAGCCCTGACCTTGCACCTAACACTCCATCAACGGCTCAAGAATATTGAGCTAATTTACTCAATGGAGGCAAAAATTCCAGAAGTTCAGGTGATGTTATATTTAAAGTGGGTGTTAATGACGATCTCGTTACAAATAATCTTAGCAATGACTCGCCCACCTGTTTCGTTCGACCACCTGTCACTTRTTCCGACTTGCCGTGTTTAAAATGTTTTATGATCGACTCCTTGCTGTGGCCGTAAACATCTTGATGGATACTCTCATGTTCGTCGCTGCGGCTTTTCATGTTTCACCACGTGACCTCTTGGAACACACACTTCTCGAAATCGATCATTTGTTGTTTTAGGCCACCTCTCTCTTTTTTTTGGGCCACCTTTGCACACGACTATCTCTGGTATTCGACCTCCTCTCGTATTCGTACTCGGTCACAAATCGCGTACTCGATAACCACTCGTACTCTATCACGTCTCGGCAAACCTTGTTCTCGGCAACCCCTCGTACTAGGCAAACCTCTCGTACCAGCCTAACATCTTGTATTCGACTTCTCGTACTCTGTAACTTCTCGTGCCGGACCTCCTCTCCTAGTCATCAACCTCTTGTATTCACATATCTCGTCTTCAGCCACCCCTCTTGTATTCACATATCTCGTCTTCAGCCACCCCTCGTTCTCGATCACCTTTCATTCTCGTAGTTGGCAGCCTAAGTCAGGGCATGGCTAACTCACAGATAGAACCCTGAAACAATCTCTGGGCTGATCTAAGTCAGGGCACAGCTAACACACAGATAGAACCCTGAAACAACCTCTGGGCTGATGTAAGTCAGGGCATGGCCAACTCACAGATCGAACCCTGAAAAAACCTCTGGGCTGATCTAAGTCAGGGCATGGCTAACTCACAGATCGAACCCTGAAACAGCCTCCCAATTCCCGCTGCACCACACCAAAAACTCGACTCCCAACTGGTTTCGTTAAAGCGCGTTGTTGTAATCTGAAGATTTTGAGTTCTAATGAAATTTTCACAAGGTTGCAACATGTGCCTTTCTCGAGGTTTGTCCTCGCAATTCCTGTTTGATACGACCAGCAAGAAAAAGGTCGAAAAAACCCCGCAGAAGTTAAGACACCTGTAAGCGACCACCTTTACATGACACCAAATATGGTCGATTACGAGAGGTTTATAAGTGACAATCTTTACATGACAC